TCCCTTGAAACATATGCTGTGCAGATGTTTCTTCCCTGCAGCCACTGTGTCAAGCAGCAAGGATGGACCGGCTTCTGGGACCCAGGATAAGGGGCTCCTGGACCAGGCCGACCCGTGCACGCTACCCATCTGTAGAGCCTGCTTCCAACGACCACATGGCATGGAAGAACACAGCTCCTAGACTTGGAGGTTCACACCCGGCCCCGAGTTCCCAGCTGCCAGGGGCCTGGTGGCCTCATTGGAGCTCCAGGCCTCTGGGACATGCTCCCCCAGGTCCCAGCATCTCATTCCCATCTGCCTCTCCCACCCTTGTCCCTGAGCTCCAGGGGGCCAGGTCCCAGCAGATCCAGGGCAGGGGTGCAGGCAGGGGTGGGTGTCAGGCAGCCCAAGGCCACAGCTGCCGCAGGCAGTGAGAATCGAGCTTCCTGAGCAAGGGGCGAGATGGGTTACCCTGTGGGGGTGACCTGTGGTGGCCAGGGGAAGGATGGACAAGGAAGCCCCGGCACCACTGGCACGTTCAGATGATTGAACTGAGGAAGCCGGCAGGCGGGCCTGCCACCTTCCACTCTGAGGCAGGCTGGCAAGCCGGAGGCTCCCAGCTCTTGCATATGCTGCACACCCTGGGTCAGGCAGTCGGTGGGGGTTCAGCCACCCCACCCCTCCTGCAGGGCTGATGGACTCGCCCCAGTGCTGGGAGCAGGGAGGGTGGAAGGCCCTCCCCAGGTGACCCCACCCAGGGCAGCCCACCCCCCTGAATGGGAGGCAGGAGACTATGGTCCTAAAGGGCAGCCTGTCCTCAGAGGGGGGTCCGAGCTTCCAGGTGGCCGAGGCTTGCTCCCGCCCTTGCCTGGTCCCAGCACTGTGTCCCCAACCCCCCCACCTCCCACACCCCCGTGCCAGTCTCCGCCTCAGGAGTCTGGCCCTCTCAGCCCCACAGGCCACACTGCACGTGTGCAGGGCTCTCTGACCTGGTTGTCTGTCTAATGACTATAAGCAGCTGTGACAATGTTTTCCTGTAGCTCCAGTTGTGATGGAGCCAGGGTTTTTATATATTAGGATTTTTATTTTTCAGTTCCAGTTTGCATTCTGTGTGATTTTGTGCTGCTTTCAGGTGTACGGCATAGAGGTGGACAGTCACATACTTTACAAAGTGGTCCCCCAGCATGTCAGTGCCCCCCTGGCACCACACCCAGTTACTTCTATATTATTGGCGAGGTGCCTTGTTAGTCACAGGGATGTAAAGTACAAATTATTTTCTAAAAGCGATTGGTTAGTATGGTCTTTCAGCAAAGGCTTAAGGAGTGATGATAGTGGCGGCTGGGAGCTGGGGACACAGAGGGCAGAGACCCCCTTTGCCCCCCCTTCTCCTCTCCTCCCACACCCATCTCCCGGCTGCCCGGCCCCCACCCACCCACAAGGTCTGCTTTGCTCTCCCACTCTTGCCAGGGAGCTGCCCTGCACCTCCTCCCCTAGAAATGACTCCCCACCTCCTGCCCCTCCAGTCCCCACAGGATGCCCCAATTCCCAGCAGCCTGGGCAGGAGGCCTCTGAGCACTGGGGCCTCCAGAGGATCCCCTGCCTCCATCACTCACCCTCAGCCCTGCTGTTCTTGGTGGCCAGGAGAAAGGTGAGGTGGGGACAGAGAGAAAGAGGGTGGAGGAATGGCTTCTTATTTCACCATCGTTTCCTCCAGGCTTTCACCCATTTCCCCACACCCCAGGGGAGGGAGCAGCGGGCAGCCTTGGCCCAGAGAGCCCCCAGCCAGGCCCAGAGGCAGTGGGACAGGGGCAGGTCTTGCATAGGCCCAGGCCTCCCTCCTTCCTGCCCCCTCCCCCCTGCAGTCTTTGCCTTCCACAGCTCTTCTTCCCAGACAGGCTGGGCAGCTGCTGACCCCGCCAGCTCTGGCACCCTCTCCTCAGGGCAGCCACTGCCACCCCAGCTCAGACAGAAGGCCATGGCCTGGCAGGCCACGTACCTGCTGCCCCTTGTCCTGCTGGTTCTCCTGGCCTCAGGTGAGGGCAGAGGCCAGGGGAAGAGGAGGAGGGATGCTAGTGAGGTGGCCTGAGGGGCATGGGGAGGATTGGCGAGGCAGCTGGAGGCAGGTGAGCAGGGGAAGGGGGTGGGTTGGGAGGGGCACTGAGTGGAGCAGAGAGGACTTCCTGAGGAGGGGGCCCCTCTTAGCTCAGTGGCAGCCAGTGGGGCTCCCTGACCTGAGGGTTTATTCTCAGGCTCCTGGGAACAGCAGTCACTGCTGCTGCAGAAACTGGAAGGGGAAGAAGTCTTCGTAAGGTGCGATTATCCACCCCAGAATAGTTCAAAGACGAAAACCTGGTGCAGAATCATAGAAGGAGAAACTTGTACATTATTAGTCAACAATCCCAGGCTTGGCCAGGAGTATGTAGACCCGAGATTCGTCATCAGGGATTACCCCGGACAGGGGTACTTCACCGTCACCATGACTGCGCTGGCAGAGAAGGACTCCGGCTTGTATTTGTGTGGGCTCCATGAATCTTCACGGATCAACATTCTCAGAACCATCAGTCTGGCGATATCTCGGGGTGAGTCCTTCCCTCTGTCTGTGCTTCTCAGGTTCCCTGAACCACAGGAAGCTGATGCTGGAAAGGACCTAATCAGGTCCCCCAGCCCCCGTGGCTGAACCCTGGGCCCCTTCCCGAGGTCACCTCTGGTTACAGGCAGAACCAGCGCCAGAACTCAGACTGCCATCTTAGTTCGGTTCTCCCTTCCCCAGCGCACACACTTCTCTGAACACTTGTTGCTCACAGGGCTCCCCGCTGACTCGTACCGATCACCAAGCTGCCTCAGGCTTGGGCAAGCCTGGCTAATGGGTCCATTCCGGGCACCCCTCCCCTGACCCCAATCCCAACCTTCTTTCCAAGGGCTGTGCTTGAGGCGGGTCACAGGTCACTGTGTTGGGCTCAGGCAGGGGACACACACAGTGAGCAGAGGTGGGATTTGGGGTGAGGCTGGCAGCTGCAGGGGCCGAGGGCTCAGAGGGCCTGGGTCCCACCCTGCACCCCCCCTGATACATGAGTGATCATCAGCCTCAGCGTGGGAAGCTTGAGGCTCCTCCTAACCCTGGGCCCCTCCCCCATATGCCTCCTGAAAGCTTCAGAGGTGCACAGCCCCCCTGCATTTCCCCGTGATGGTCAAGGGTTAAACAGAACCTTCGAAGACCCCCGCTCGGCTGGTGAGCCTGCCCAGCTGTTCGGTCAGCTGGGGGCCTGGCCCACACACATCAGTTGTTCCGTCATTCTCAGTCCAAGCCTGGGCTCATTGCCCACTGCATGTCGGGCACGGGGCCAGGCCCTGGAAGAGGGAGGGGGTCCAGGTTTGCTGGTGAGGCCAGGAGGTATTAGACTTGCCTGCAGGACTCCCCAGAGGAGGTGACACCACAGGCCGGCGGTTGGTGTGGGGGGCAGCAGTTGGGGGGCGAGCAGGTCGGTAGGGAGTGACACTTGGGGGGCGAGCAGGCCTGCGGGGGGAAGTTCGGGTCTATTTCTCTTCTGAAGCCCTCACACAAGCCTTGAATGTGACTGCCTCAAAGCAGCACAAGTCCCATCAACCAGCCACAGAGGAAAGGAGCTGGGGTGGGGAGCTATGATTACAAAGGTGTTTCTACCCCTGATGACAGAGCATCACCTAAAAATGTGGCCCAGGGGCGAATGGATTTGATCAAACTTCCTTGGAGTTAAAAGAAGGGGATGGACAGAAATCCTCTGCACAGAGCTGCTGGGCCATGGGGCCCGGAGGGGTGTAGAGAGCACTACCCAGAGGAGGAGAAACTGTGAAGGTAGCAGAGGAGTAACACATGCAGAAGAGGGGTGGCCGCCACCAGGAGCAGGTGGGGACATGCACTCACCGAGTGTCAGCGACACATGGAGACAGTTGGGCTGAGTGGAGAGGAGATGGTGAGGCTAAAGCAGGACCGGTGGTGGATTCAGACTGCCAGAGCCTTGGGCGCCTGCAGCCTTGTGCACTTTGTTCTGTAGGCAATGGGAGCATGAAGGGCTTTCCCTGGCGCCTTGAGTGGGAGAGTGAGGGCTCAGTGCAGAGTGATTGACGCAGGAGCTGTGGGCAGGAGCTATGCAGAAGGGAGATATTAGGGGCTCCCTGTAGGATAGTGGTTCTCAACCTTCTGGCCCTTTAAACACAGTTCCTCATGTTGTGGGGACCCCCAACCATAAATATATTTTCGTTGCTACTTCATAACTGTAATGTTCTACTGTTATGAATCATAATGTAAATATCTGATATGCAGGATGGTCTTAGGCAATCCCTGTGAAAGGGTCGTTGGACCGCCAAAGGGGTTGCGACCCACAGGTTGAGAACCGCTGCTTTAGGGTGAGAGCCAGTGCAGAGGATTATGGGAAAGTAAGGCCCAGCCTCAAAGTCCCTGCTTGGCTGCTGTGGTGGCCAGGAGGCAGGGAGCAGGCTGAGCTTTGGAGCTGAACATGCAGCAGACACCCACCCTCTTGGGCTCAAGGGGGTCAAACCTAGGACTCCAATGCTTGTGCTTGACCTTCCAGGCCTGCCGCCTGCCCTGGCCCTTTCTGAGCCAAAGGTGCTGGCTATTGTTCTGACTTGTGGATTTGTCCTGAACAAGGGCCTGGTGTTCTCAGTCCTGTTTGTCCTTCTCCGGAAAGCCAGGGCCTCAGGTGAGTGGGGGCCGAAGGCCGGCTTGTGGTGGAAATCAATGAGGGGACCCAGATGGTAGCTGCAGACAAGAGCTCAGGGGTTCCCCAGAGCTTGTCCCCTGACTTTGCCCACTTCTTTGCCTAGGAGGCAGGCCCAGCCCCGGGAACCCTGTGAATGGCACTGGGCTGGGCTCACAGGGACAGGAAGACCTGGGGGTGGGAGCGGCCAGCATGGTTTTGGCTGCTGGGCAATCCAGTCTTTTCTTCAGAGGAGGGAGGGAGGTGAAGCCGGGACTGGCATGGATGGATCACTTGCAAGTGCTGTCTATTTCTCTCACTCCTCAGGCGAGCCAAACCCAGGGGAGCAGCAAAGTCACCCTTCCAGGAGCTGACGGGCATGCCTTCCTCCCCTAGCAAACATCACATTTGCTCTTGTTCCCCAAACGAACAAACAAATAAACTGATCTCTCAGGAATGTAAAAGGCTTCTGAAACTTCTTTTGTGAGGTCTCTGCCCAGCCCCTTTCTTATTGAGAGAAACGTACTGAGCGGAAAGTGTGGGGAGCTGGGCGGAAGAAGACCCAATGAACTAATCAGAGGCCCAAGAAAATGGCAAACTATTTTTTATAAAAAAATAAAAGCATAATATGGTAATTAGACTGGACTGTCGAACGACCTTCTGGACGTCATTCCAGACATCCTTCTGGATGAAGCCATGGTGGCGGGGGCTGAGGCAGAGGCAGTTAGGCGTGATCAGGCAGGCAGGCAAGTGGTTAGGGGTGATCAGGCAGGCAGGAAGGCAGGGAAGCTGTTAGGAGCCAGCGGTGCCGAATTGTGAGAGAGATGTCCCGGATTGCGAGAGGGTGCAGGCCAGGCTGAATGACTCCCCCCATGACCCCGTGCACAAATTTAATGCACCGGGTCTCTAGGCTTTTATAAAAAGTAAAAGAACAACTGGGACCCAACGAATCACCCAAATGAACCTGTGTTGGTTCCCTTGCTGCTGTTCAGACTCGCTCTGCTGGGGCGTCTCTGGCCCTCCGGTGAGGCCCATGGCAAGACCCATCACATTCCTGGTCATTTTAAAAACATTTTATTTTTAAATTAAATTTATTGTGGTGACATTGGTTAATAAAATTATATAGGTTTCATTTTGTGGGTCATTTAAAAAAATAGACTAATTTTTATAGCAGTTTTAGGTTCCCAGCAAAATTAAAGACACAGTACAGTTCCCATATAGTCCTGTCCCCACAGGTGCACAGCCTCCCCGCTATCAGCATCCCAGTCCCTGCCCACAGTCACCCATGGACGCACTTCACCGTTGGTCTGGTTTTATGGAATTTGTTTTTTTCCACCTCCATCCCCTCGCTGCACTTCCTACCCGATGCCCATCGGTATCCTCTTAATATAGTGAATGCATATGTCCTTTCAATCTACTTTCCATACATGTATTTACATTTGTGCGGGTCTTTGAAAACACATAGAAGTGATTCATGTGCTTTATTTTATAGGTATTTCCCTCTGACCTTCAGGGAATGACTCTCAAAGCCACACTTTTCCATAAAAAATGTGCTCTCCCATGGAAAACTGCCTTGTCTCTAGCACATTCTTCCTGGTTCTTTGATTCTGATTCAATGAGAACTATTTGATAACCAGAGGCCCAGTGCGTGAAATTCATGCACGGGAGGCAAGGGGTCCCTCAGCCCGACCTGCTCCTCTATCAATCTGGGACCCTATGGGGGATGTCAGGCCTAAACCGGAGTCGGACATCCCTCTTGCAATCCGGGAAGTTGCATGAACCTGTGACCATACTTTTCATACAGGTGAAAGGCATCATGCTGTTGTATGGGCAGCAAAATTATTTGCCCTGATTATAAAAAGCAGTACATAACATGATCCTTCTGAGGCAGTAGTGCCATTTTCCCCATCTTATGGGTGGAAAACTGAAGCAGAGAGAAGTTAAGTAATTGGCTTTGTCACACAGTTATAAGTGTCAGAATCAGGGCTGACCACAAAATGTGCAAGCCAGAGTCCATGCATGTCATCACTGCATCATCCTGTTTCTTCAGTGTGAGAGAAGCTTTGCCAGTTTTGAATTTTTAGATCTTAGAGACAGTTCCCAATATAGTGGGTAGGGTCCCTAGGCCTGCTCAACAATCAGGGTAATCTGTGGGGTGACCGATGAGTGGGGTGATAGGGAGGCCCTCCCCTGGCACACACCTAGGCTGGTGGCTCGGGCTGCCTGCTGGCCAGCCCCGCTCCCTGATTGCTGCCGCAGGTCACCTCCCTCTCAGGGGGCAGTGCGCTTCATCGCAACCAGTCATTCTGCCGGTTGTTCCACTGTTCTGTTGATTTGCATATTAGGATTTTATTATATAGGATTCTGCAAATCATAGGTAATTGATAGACATACAAATTCTGTCTTTCTTCCTCTATTGTGGGAGGGATGAAAACCCCACACTGGTGAGTCTCCCATGCAATTCATTTCAACATTTCTTTACTCCATATAAGA